CTGTTGGATTGTCATCGTCTCAAATCAAAAGATCCTAAGTGAGAAATACATTTTAAATCATTCTTTTAGCTTTTTTGCCTACGCCGGGTGGTTGGAATTTATCTCTTTTAGTAGTAATGAGAAATTTATTTTTTCTCAGACTGCTTGTTATTTGGATTATTTATACAAGATATCTTGGTATGTTAAGGATGCTACTTTGAAAGTGAAAATTACGGTCACCAACCCTTTACTTTTTATAGCAATAGAGTCCTTCAGTCTAAAAATGCCATTAAGTCTCACATGGTTTGCACGTGATTAGGATCACAATCAATACAAATCTTGAGATTTCGAATTGAGTATTTGCGGGTGTAAATCGCATCACCACGGCAATGCATTTTCTGTAAAATAAAAAATAAAATAGAAGTGTGCACCGCCTTGCATCACCAAGGTCATCGGCTCGGGCCCAGATGGGCCCCAGCCGACCCTCCAATAGGGGGTGGCCAAGTGGCCATTTTGGACACCCCTTTCTACACTATTTTGTACCTGTAGCACAACCCATCTAAAATAAAGTTGAAATATGCTACTTGCACATAATTTATATACATAATGATGTCTACGCCCTCACATTGAATGGAGATGGTGTCCACACCCTTATATTGGATGGACACTTAGAGTGTTGATATCATTATGTACATGTAGACAAACTCAATGAAATTTCAGGTTCTAGAAATTCGTGCAGCAAGACATTGTCCAATGTGAGGGTGTGAACACTATTATATATACGTAGACAAATCCAATGAAGTTTTAGGTTCTAGAAATTCATGCAGCAGGACATTGATGGCACCAACATCTCCCGGGAAAGACTGTTCATAGCATCATCTACTATTTTGCACTGCTCGAGAATTCATGTTGTTGAAGAATATAATACAAATAAAGAGAAAAGAATTATATTATTCATAGTGAGTACTAGCGATCGTCGTTTTACGTGACATACATATGACAGTTTATTATTTGATGTAATAATGTAGTAGTTTTTTATTGATTCATGTATCAAATGACAAACTGCTACATGTATGTCACGTAAGATGACTACTGATAGTTCTCACTATTAATAGAATTACTCAGAGAGAAATGATGAGAATTGGATTAATTCAAGGAAACTCGGACCATTCCATAGTACATTAACAAAATTTAAGATTTTTTTTTCTTGACACTTTTCAGTATCGTTGGTATGCAAAACATTTGTCTGACCTCAACATTGAGAGACGGGACGGGAAATTAAAGGGTGCATGGACCCTGGTCAACTAGGGTATATCCCGCGGTTAACCTCCACACCTCACTGAGGGGCTGCGGATGAGTGGTCCAGGATATAGTCTGGTGTAAGTTGGGATAC